TCTTGACAGGAGACCGATTCAGTACAATTGTGTTTGACTTCAGAGGCAAACGGTTGAGCTTGAAAACTGCTTACTGCGTTTGCTCTGTCCTTTGGATTATTGGAATAGCCATTGCCTTCACTCCACTGTTTGCCACAAGCTACTTCATCGATGAAACGACCGGTTTCTCATTCTATGGACGATCGACTGTTTGCCTTGCATTTCAACTTTCCTCAGAGCAACCTGCAGGATGGGAGTACTCCGTTGCWGTTTTCATGGCCYTCAATGGCGCTGCTTTCTTATTCATCTTTGTTGCTTATGTAGCTATATTCATAAAGGTMMAAAAGTCTGCCAAAAARGTCCAGTCAACGAGAGAGCCTTCATCTTTGGGGACACGAATCATGTTTATTGTCCTGACTGACTTTGTTTGCTGGATGCCGGTAATCGTGATCGGTCTTTTGTCTCTCGCTGGTCATTTTAAGGATCCAACGGGACAAGTGTATGCGGTGATGGCTGTTTTTATTCTTCCCGTGAACTCCTCCATTAATCCTATCTTGTATACGTTTGCAACACCGCAAGCAAAGAAAGCATTCATGCAATGGTCATCAGACATATTAGGTGCAATTTCAGGTTAGGAACTCTAAATAAGGCATAGAGCAAACTCAAAGTGTGTCGTGGTGGGAATAGTCTCTTTTTGCGCCATCTTGAAAGGTAGCAATGCCTTTGCATCGAAGCGAGACGACCGTTGTGAGTGCAATGATAGAAACCTGTTAATAATTGTCTGTAGGTGTGAAAGAAGGTTTCTATCATTGCAAGCTCAACGGTCGTCTCGCTACCTTTCAAGATGGCGCAGGTAACCGTGAAGGAGACCATTATAACACGAATTCATAAAAGTAGCTAAAATCACGTATTCCATGACCATCTAAAACTTGATTGTTTGAATGAAGAACTGTTCATTTAAAGTGCAAATGTGTGACCTAATAATGATAATTGTTCTCACAGAATTGAGAGCGACAAGACGGTCTTTAAATGAATCTGGTAAACGAACGGAAGACAAGAACAAAAGGCAAACAGATGTTGAATTGGTACAGATCAAACGATCCTACCACAACCAATAGACTTCCTCAAGATATGTTGGAAATAAAACATTTCAGATAAGTTACTAGAAATAGAGAAAGTACATAGCAAACTTTTACGGATATTCTTCTAAACTGTGTATCAGATCATACTCACTTTGTTTGGGCTAAACGATGAAGCTAAGCTTTAACAAAGACTCCAAGGAAGGATTAAGGTCCGAAACGTCAGTAGGTTGTTTTACCTATTTTGTACGGTGTGAAATTTACATATCAAACAATTGTCTAACATTCGCGTGCGGGCTACCTGGTTTTTTTTTTGTTTTTTTTTTTTTTTTTTTTTTTTTTTTTTTTTTTTTTGTGGGATCCCTTATTTTCAGGGATAGGGGGAGACTAGGACAAATTTATAATGGCAGACATGCTTAAAAG